TTTGACCCATGTGATCTCTGTTATTAACCCCTTGTGACTGCAAAGCTTGTCCACGTAATGATCAGCCTTTAGAAGGAGCACCCGAGTATGTGTTTTACATTGTCCATATGAAGACTAGTAAGTCAATGATTGCTTTTAGTAAATCAGCCTTTGAAGAAGCACCCGAGTATATATTTTACATTGTGCACCTAAAGACCAGAGAGACAATGACTGCTGTAAGTAAATCGCCCTTCAAGTCTCCATGGGAAGCCTTTTACATTGTCCCCATAGAGACTAGAGAGACAATGACTGCTTGTAGTAAATCAGCCCTAAAGTCCTTCTAAGTAGTACCCGTTCTATGTTGTCCTCAGTCCGTTTCTGCTTTTAGTGAGTCAGCCTTCTAATCCTCCATGGGCAGCACCCTGGGAAGTGTCTTATGCCTGTAGAAGTTTCTGGAGTCATGTGTGTGACTGTAGATTGCTGTTTTGTGTTGAGTCTCCGTTGATGACCTATGAAGAGCTGTCACTGTAGACTGTAGCCGATGTGAGTGGTGTGGTGGTTGGAATTCTTCTTTGTAGGGGCGACATATAATGTGAGTGTGGAAGTAGAGTGTGCTAACGTGGGGAGAAGCCTGTTCTATGGGGCGGTGGGAAGACGAAAGTGGGGGTCTGGCTTGCTGGTGGGATTCCAGAAATTAAAATTCATTTTGGGGGGGCGTGGGTGGACAAAGTAAGCTGTGATTCAGAAGTTTTTAAAAGTGAGCAACTCCAGAGACTGTGAAGGGGGGGTGGGAGTGGTTGGGTAGTTTTTGTAGGGGACTACACAACTTTTAAAAGTTTGTAGAAAGTGCATATTACAGCTGTAGAGTCTGACCCGGTATTTCTTTTGTCTGCAGAACGAGAAAGTCCTGAACAATCTGAATCTGAGCAGCATGCTGGACAAGAAGGCGGTGGGCAGCCCGCTGTCAGCCCCCAACTCCAGCCTGCTCCCGGGGTTCCTTCGCAGACACTCAGCCAGCAACTTGCAGGCTCTGGCTAACAACAACAACTTGTCCCCCAAGTTCTGCAACAACAACCTCAAGGAATCGGTGGTGAACAGCACTGCTCTGCTGAATAAAGAGAACAAGTTCCGGGATCGCTCGTTCAGCGAGAATGGGGAGCGCAGCCAGCACCTCCTGCATCTCCAGCAGCAGCAACAGCAGCAGAAATCCGGAGCTCAGATCAACTCCACCCGTTACAAGACCGAGCTCTGCCGGCCTTTCGAGGAGAGTGGCACCTGCAAGTATGGTGAGAAGTGTCAGTTTGCTCATGGCTTCCATGAGCTGCGCAGCCTGACCCGGCACCCCAAGTACAAGACCGAGCTGTGCCGTACCTTCCACACCATTGGCTTCTGCCCCTACGGTCCTCGCTGCCACTTCATCCACAACGCTGAGGAGAGGAGGCAGGCGCCTGGAGGAGGAGGCTCCCCTACAGACTGCTTCAATGGCCAGCGCCCCAAACTGCACCACAGTCTCAGCTTCTCTGGCTTCCCCAACCACAGCCTGGACTCCCCTCTTCTGGAGAGCCCAACCTCACGCACACCTCCTCCACAGTCCTCTAACTCCCTGTACTGCGAGGAGAATGTCTCCTGTGCCAACAATGCCTTCACCTTCTCTGGCCAGGAACTCGGCCTGATCACCCCCCTGGCAATCCAGACCCACAACCTGTCCAGCTACAACCCTGCAGCCTACTGCCGCCAGCAGCAGCCAGCTTCTTCCAACACACCCCCACCGAGCCTTAACTTCCAGCCCCTGCGACGCCTCTCTGAATCCCCAGTGTTTGATGCTCCACCAAGTCCACCCGACTCCCTCTCTGACCGAGAGAGCTATCTGAGTGGCTCCCTGAGCTCTGGCAGCCTGAGCGGATCGGATTCCCCTACCCTGGACTCTAACAGGCGCCTGCCCATTTTCAGCAGGCTGTCCATCTCTGATGACTGAGCCATCACCCCCCTTTTATTTTTTCCTCTAGGGGGCAGTCAGGACTGGGGAGGCAAGTTGCTGCCCGGGCTGGTATGATTTTTTTTGTTTTTTATAATAAATGATCTGGGCTTCATGGCCACCTGTCCGAGAACAGAGGGCAGTGCTATAAAGCCCACAGCTGCTGCAGAACCTCTCTTCTTTTTTTTTTTTTTTTTTCTAAGGACAAGCACTGCAGCCTCTTTGTGGTCACGCTGTTGGTTGTAAGGCTCCTCTTCGAAAGTCAAGACAGTCAAAGCTCTGCATGCTGAGGTTATGTTGCAGCTGAGGTCTTTGGGTTCCACAAGCTGTCCTGGTGATTGGACTAGAGGGTTCTTTTTTGTTGCCCACCCTGCCTTTAAGTACAGTGGAAGCATCAGGGTCCAGTTTTTACCCCCCCTTTCTGTCACAAAAGCTGCCAGTCTATCCCTGCACCTCTTGCCCAGTGTGATACACAGACTCAGGAGGGTAGAAGACCAGAGAGGACGATGACCCAAGCCTTACACCAATGTAATCATGGCAAGGACTAAACACTTGAACTGTATAGAGCTGGCACTCAAAATGTTCCCTGTATTAATATTATTATTTCTGTTTTGCCTTTTGTGCCTCTGCCAATTTTTATTTAATGTCAAGGAGAGTCGGAAAGACTCGTGAAAAAAAAAATCCTGAAAGCTGAACAAAAAAACAACAAAAAAAAAAAACCTTACTCGCAAAAGGGCAAACTTAATAGAACAAAACTATTTTTATAGAACTGTGGGGGTTAGTGGGTGGGATGTGTCTTTGTGGAATTTCACTTTAGCTTTTTTTTTTCCCCGGGTGTTTAATAATAAAACACAACAGTCCAGTTGGAAAAAAAACTGAAAAAAAAAACTTTAATAAGCTTTTTTTTAAAAGAAATCACCTATAACTGCTGATTTTTTTTTTTTATTATTATTATATTATTTTAGCTGTCTGAGTTGCTTGCCTGTCACTGCACACAACTCAATATGAAACTATTTAACTTATTTATTATCTTGTGAAAAATATACATTGAATAATTTGTTCATACTGTATTTATCGGGTATGATGAAAAAAGCAATAGATATATATTCTTTTATTACGTTTAAATTATGATTGCCATTATTAATCTGCAAAATGTTGAGTGTATGTTCTTTTCACAGTAATATATGCCTTTTTTTGTAACTTCACCTGTTTTATTTTATTGTAAATGAGTAAAATCTTAATTTAAGAGATTGTATGTAATATTTATTTCATTAATTCCTTTCCTTGTTTACGTTAATAAAAAAGAAAAAAAAATGAGAAAAAGTTTTAATGGTTTCTGTAAAGAAAT